TGGAGGGGGGGGGGGGGGTGCACAATCACACATAATTCTGCATCTCTCGTCCAAATATGCAATAGCAGACGGCGACTTTACTATGCCATATAAGCCATATGACAGGAAGTGGAATTACTTGTAGAATTGGGCACGTTCTAAGTCCATAACTTTGACGAACTGCCCCCCCCCCCCCCCTCCGCAATGTGTACAATGATGTATGTGTTGACAGATATTTTTTAACATTTTGAATCCGATAGATATGGGACGCCGACATTATTCGTAGCGAGCAGGGCGGGAAGGTCTGGCATCTCAAGAACAAGGGTCACAATGCCATGAAGAACCCCGGAGAGAGCATTGCCATGACGTTCGTGGCTAGGGGAGGGGCGAGCAGCGCCACAGTCAGAATTGTGGGCCAGGACGGTGGGGGTACCAACACCGGTACTAACCCCAGCAAACCTGTGGTGGACCCAGTCAAACCAGGTAGGTAGCACGTGCGGTGAAGGGAGCGTTCCCATTGGCCCAGCGTTCTGGCTGGATCCCTCTAACTCTGCGGGGATTCTGGCTGAATTGCTTTCAAAATAAATTGATCCAGCTAGTACGATGGGTTTATGGGAACGCAGATTTTGCCTGTGAACTCATATTACTATTGACTGACCTATGGCGTGTTGTGAACAATTAAATTTTAACTGGGATACTTTGAATAGGAAATTTTGTGCTAGACTCGATCTTTTCCTTACAAGTCGTGGGCAGTTTATTATATTTTATAAAGTTGAGTTTAGTGTTATAAACTCACCAAATGTTTCTGGTGACAATGCGCAGCACAGACCGATCATAATGCAAAGATAAAGTTATGTAAAGTAATAACAATACGTCAGCACTGTTTCTCATTATTAAGAGGAGTGACTTACCAGGTAATTTCAAAATGAAAATTAATTTGGCAACCCGACTTAAGTGCATTTATTTATTTATTTATTTATTTATTTATTTATTTATTTATCTTCATCTTGATAGATACATTAGATAGTTACATTAAGCGTAGAACAAGTATAATAATTATGACAATATGAGAAATAAGCACGCGACATAATCATTATCAATTAATTTTATTTCATTTTTCTTTTTTCGAAAAAAAAAAAAAAAAAACACCGACTCTATTTCCATTGCAGTAACTCCAACAAACACCAAATACAACTACGACGACGTCCTTCACAAGTCCATCTTGTTCTACGAGGCGCAGCGTTCCGGCAAGCTGCCCAGTAACAACAGGGTTCCCTGGAGGGGGGACAGTGCCCTGGGGGACAGGGGCCGGAACGGAGAGGACCTCACTGGGGGCTGGTATGACGGTAAGTGGCCTGGAAATGGGAGGGGGGGCAGCGCCCTGGATTGGGATGGCAGAGGAGAGAACGGAGAAGACCTCACTAGGGGCTGGTATGACCGTATGAGGCGTGGATCACAGCGGCATTGAACTGAAAACCTGGGCCTGATTTTCTTTATTACTTCATTTTCTAAGAATTGGCTCCAATGGCTTTACTTCAGAATTTTATATTGAAGGATGGGGTATTTCAGAAAAGATTAGCGCGTATCTGTGTAATGCCAGCGCCGACCCGTGCGGTTATCTCCGGAGCATGGTTACGACGACAGAAAACAAATAAAGGGCTCAGCGCCAGAACCTTATAGTCTCACGCTTATGGGTCTAAGGCCAACAGGTCATAGAGGTTCTATATGGCTCTGTTCGCATGGTCACTTTACGCAACAGTTGGTTCTGAATCAAGCCCTAGTTGAAACGGTGTCACATTCATGTAGTATTAATAACAGAGACACGTATGCCGTGTGAAAGGGTCATGCTCGGCTTAAGGAGCCACGTCACATGATGACGTCAGCGTCCCTACTGCCTAAACAGGACCTCCTCTGACCCCTTGACACGGATGCTATCCACACGAACGTGCCTCATCTCCACGTGCCTGGCTGTGGACCTCGTGCTCTGTGTGTGTGTCACCTGCCTCAGGCGGGGGCTGTCAACCTTAAAAGTCCAAAATACTATATTACATGGTTATTAGGTACATTTTGGAAAATAATGCGATTGCATATTATTCATTGCTTATCTGTGTACCTTCCAACTGTAGTTACTTGTAAAAAAGTCTTATTGGTTATTTCAACCAAAATTCTAATACCTGTATTTATTCATCAATAAGCACTACATTCCGGTGTTAGGACACTTCTTGAAATGCTTGCTCCTGATTTTAACAGTTAAGAGGGGATTGGTACGTTTGTTCGATGGAACATCTTCGTTTAGCAGCTAGGGATCGTATCTCCAAAAATGAATTCAATAGTCATATCAATACATATAACAGTATGTGTATACGAGGCAGCAGTTTAGGCCAATTATGGTCAAATCTGATTAAAAGCATGTTTTAAAATATGTCAGATTAGAATATAAACAGCGCAATCACTGCTGACTTCATAGTTGTGTTCTTTAATGGGCAATACATAATAAATGAAAAAAAAATTCATGTTTCAGCCGGTGATCATGTGAAGTTCGGTCTCCCTATGGGCTGGTCCACAATGACCTTGACCTGGGGGTTAGTCGACTATAAAGACGCCTATGTGGCCGCGGGAGAATACAACAACATGCTGTCCTCTGTGAAGTGGCCTCTGGACTACTTTATTAAGGCACACACGTCAAAGAATGAACTCTATGTACAGGTGGGCCTAGGCTGTTTTTCTCCCTTTTTTATGAATTAGATGATTGTCGATTTATTTATTAATTTTCAATTGATTTTTGTGGGGGGGGGGGATTGAAGAATTCTTTATGTTGTAAATTAGGTTTCCGTTGTATTTTTTATATCCATTCATTCTTTCATTTTTTTATAATTTAACTTGTCTTTTTATTTCCCTTTTATATCTATTGATTAATTAACTTCATGTACTCGTATCTTTTCCTAGTTTTGAAAATTATATCCTGTCTTTGACCCAAAGTTATTAGATTAAAACTTGTTTGTTATTAATTTAAACACAAACAAACGTCACACATTTAATTCCCGTGTCTTCAGGTTGGCGACGGTTACGCTGATCACGGGTTCTGGGGCCGCCCTGAGGATATGAACATGAACCGACCAGCCTTCAAGGTCACTTCCGGGAATCCAGGAAGTGACGTAGTTGGACAGACAGCTGGAGCCATGGCAGCTGGCTACATGGCATTCAAGGACTCTAGTAAGTGTTTAGATTTGCGACAAAACATCTGTACACCTGTCAAATGCATATTTTGTTGTTTTTTTTATTTTTTTTCTTCTGATGTGTAGGGATTTGAAGTGTATACACACAGTTTAACCGAGTGCACTTGTTTTGGTGCCTCTCTCCCTCTTCATAATGAAATATTTATTTCACTTTTAGACGCTGGCTACGCCGCTACTTTGCTGAGGCACGCCAAGGAGCTTTACGATTTTGGAAGCAGATCTCAGGGAATTTACACCAATCAAGGCGGCATCCCGGCCAAACCGTTCTACGTGTTAGTATATACTATGCCTAGTCATCCCCGACCACTAGCTCCTAGGCTTATTTGAAATGTGTTTTACAACTGTTGGCTTTTGTTCACTTCCATTATGGCCTTTTGACTCTGGGATTTTGGTTAATCCAAGGCGTGGTTTACAGTTTGACCTTTTTAGTAATATCCCAATGAAACCCGTCTACCCATGTAATCGTAGCGTATTCTCTTACGAAAAACACAATCTGTGCGTCCTATGGATGTTTTTACTCAGTTTTAAAGGTATCATAAGAACGCCAATTGCATTGGCTACACGCAGTGTCACCACGCACCCCATTCCACCCCCATCCCTGCACAAACGATGCTCTCTAAGACCCCATTCCCATAGCCACCCTCGGTCTACGTAGATCGACCCAACTCTCCGACGCTCTCGTTAAATGCAATCAGCTTAACTGAATGGCAAGCCTCCTCTTGTTTCCAACGCACTTAAATAACCACCATCTTCCCTGTATCTAGGCGGAGGAGTGCTAATCTTTTAAGCTGATGGCACTCAGCGAGAGTCCCGTCAGAGTTGGACCCATCTATGTGGGCCGATGGTATCTACATGTATGTAAATGGAACCCAAGAAATCATTACGCACAGCTTTACATCAATTCAGAGGCGATTAAGAAAACAGGAAAATTTAACCTCTCGTACGTTTTGTTCTACTTCTAGCTCCCAAAGTTACAAGGACGATCTGTGTGTGGCCGCTGCCTGGTTGTACAGGGCTACAAAGGAGGCCAAGTACCTGAATGACGCCAAGAGGTGGGCCGAGACCTCCCCGTCCTGGGCTTATTCCTGGGATGACAATAAGGTGTCCTGTCAGGTACGTAATGGAGGGGATATGTGGTGGTTGGGGTTGGGGGGGGGGGGGGGGGGTAATGACGCCAACAGGTGGGCCGAGACCTCCCCGTCCTGGGCTTATTCCTGGGATGATAATATGGTGTCCTGTCAGGTTACTAGGTGGAGAGAATAGAAAGGATGGAGAGAAAGCCAAATATATGTCGGGCAGAAAAAAGAGCATACAAAATAGTTCTCTTTAAAAATGACAAATGGCATGAATAACAAACAAAACGGGATGGGCTTTTGTACACTGTACTAGACAAATTTGTGTGATAACAGTAGTCCAGTGTAATGTTCTGAATCACAAATAGCTCGTTTAGCGGCCATATTGAATTTTCTCCCACAGTTGCTGCTGTACATCGCCACTAAGGACAACACGTACAAGTCGCCTATAGAGAGCTACATGAGGAGCTGGATGCGGGGAGGTGACGTCACCTACACTCCTAAGGGCCTCGCCTGGAGATTGCAGTGGGGCTCTCTACGCTACGCAGGTAGATCGTGGACTTAAGGCTTCAGCGTTTTCCATGACAATTCTGAAAAAAAATTGGCAGTACACAAATTACCATTCAATGTCCAGGTTCGGCCGTAAGCTATCGGTATGAACATATTTCAGCTTGTGTTTTATAATCACCATACGTGATCCTTTGATTGGTTTCTTCCTCCAGCCAACACTGCGTTCATTGCTCTGAGAGCGGCAGACGCCGGGATCAACACTAACACCTACAAGAACTGGGCCCAGGGTCAGATCCACTACATGCTGGGAGACACCGGCCGTAGTTATGTGGTGGGATTTGGAAACAACCCACCAACACAGCCACATCACCGCGCCGCGTGAGAACTTTGAACTTTATTTTTATTAATTTATTATTTATTTTATTTATTTTATTTATTTATTTATTTATTTATTTTTTGATTTTCAAAAAAATATTATCAAACCTTTGATGTACTAAGACAATNTTGTATACGAGGCAGCAGTTTAGGCCAATTATGGTCAAATTTGATTAAAAGCATGTTTTAAAATGTGTCAGATTAGCATAAACAGCACAATCAATGCAGGGATACATTCACTGGTGTGTTCAATATTGGGCAATATATAATAAATAAAAACTCTTTATGTTCCAGCCGGTGATCATGTGAAGTTCGGTCTCCCTATGGGCTGGTCCACAATGACCTTGACCTGGGGGCTAGTCGACTACAAAGACGCCTATGTGGCCGCGGGAGAATACAACAACATGCTGTCCTCTGTGAAGTGGCCTCTGGACTACTTTATTAAGGCACACACGTCAAAGAATGAACTCTATGTGCAGGTGGGCCTAGGCTGTTTTTCTTTCTTTTTTAATGAATTAGATTATTGTCAGTTTATTTATTAATTTTCAATTGCTTTTTGGCGGGGGGGGGGGGGGGGGCATTGAAGCATTCTTTATGTTGTAAATTAGGTTTCCGTTGTATTTTTTATATTCATTCATTCATTCATTTTTTTCTAATTTAACTTGTCTCTTTATTCCCCTTTTCTATCTATTGATTAATTAACTTCATGTACTCGTATCTTTTCCTAGTTTTGAAAATTATATCCTGTCTTTGATCCAAAGTTATTAGACTGAAACTCGTTTGTTATTAATTTAAACACAAACAAACGTCACACATTTAATTCCCGTGCCTTCAGGTTGGCGACGGTTACGCTGATCACGGGTTCTGGGGCCGTCCTGAGGATATGAACATGAACCGACCTGCCTTCAAGGTCACTTCCGGGAATCCAGGAAGTGACGTAGTTGGACAGACAGCTGGAGCTATGGCAGCTGGCTACATGGCATTCAAGGACTCTAGTAAGTGTTTAGATTTGCGATTTCGACACAACATTGCAAAAATATGTACACCTGTCAAATGCATATTTTGGTTTTTTAATTTTTTCTTCTGATGTGTAGGGATTTGAAGTGTATACACACAGTTTAACCGAGTGCACTTGTTTTGGTGCCTCTCTCCCTCTTCATAATGAAATATTTATTTCACTTTTAGACGCTGGCTACGCCGCTACTTTGCTGAGGCACGCCAAGGAGCTGTACGATTTTGGAAGCAGATCTCAGGGAATTTACACCAATCAAGGCGGCATCCCGGCCAAACCGTTCTACGTGTTAGTGGATACTATGCCTAGTCATCTCCGACCACTAGCTCCTAGGCTTATTTGAAATGTGTTATCATTTACAACTGTTGGCTTTTGTTCACTTCCATTATGGCCTTTTGACTCTGGGATTTTGGTTAATCCAAGGCGTGGTTTACAGTTTGACCTTTTTAGTAATATCCCAATGAAACCCGTCTACCCATGTAATCGTAGCGTATTCTCTTACGAAAAACACAATCTGTGCGTCCTATGGATGTTTTTACTCAGTTTTAAAGGTATAAGAACGCCAATTGCATTGGCTACACGCAGTGTCACCACGCACCCCATTCCACCCCCATCCCTGCACAAACGATGCTCTCTAAGACCCCATTCCCATAGCCACCCTCGGTCTACGTAGATCGACCCAACTCTCCGACGCTCTCGTTAAGTGCAATCAGCTTAACTGAATGACAAGCCTCCTCTTGTTTCCAACGCACTTAAATAACCACCATCTTCCCTGTATCTAGGCGGAGGTGTGCTAATCTTTTAAGCTGATGGCACTCAGCGAGAGTCCCGTCAGAGTTGGACCCATCTATGTGGACCGATGGTATATATTTGTTAATGGGACCCAAGTAATAATTACGCATAGGTTTACAGAAATTCAGAGGCGATTACAAAAACGGGAAAATTTTACCCCTTTTTTGTTTTGTTCTAGCTCCCAAAGTTACAAGGACGACCTGTGTGTGGCCGCCGCCTGGTTGTACAGGGCTACGAAGGAGGCCAAGTACCTGAATGACGCCAAGAGGTGGGCCGAGACCTCCCCGTCCTGGGCTTACTCCTGGGATGACAATAAGGTGTCCTGTCAGGTACGTGATGGAGGGGATGAGTGGTGATTGGGGTTGGGGAGGTGAGATTAATGACGCCAAGAGGTGGGCTAAGACCTCCCCGTCCTGGGCGTACTCCTGGAAAAAAAGGTGTCCTACCAGGTACGATGGGGGGTGGGGGAGGGTGGGCGATAGAGAAAAAGGCAGAGGTATGTCGTGGAGAAATAAAGAACACACGAAATGGCTCTCTTCAAAAATGAAAAGAGTAATGAAAAACAGACGTAACTGGATGGGGTTTTGTACTAGTAAGCCACCATGTCTGCCAGGCAAATTTATGCGAAAACAGTAGTCAAGTGGAATCTTCTGAATCATAAGTAGCTCGTCTAGCGGCCATATTGGATTTTCTTCCACAGTTGCTGCTGTACATCGCCACCAAGGACAACACGTACAAGTCGCCTATAGAGAGCTACATGAGGAGCTGGATGCGGGGAGGTGACGTCACCTACACTCCTAAGGGCCTCGCCTGGAGATTGCAGTGGGGCTCTCTACGATACGCAGGTAGATAGTGGACTTGTCTTCAGCCTTTTCCGTAACAATTCTGTAAGAAATTGGCAGTACACAAATTATCATTCACTGTCCAGGTTCGGCCGTAAGCTATCGGTATGATATTATTTCAGCTTGAGTTTTATAATCACCATACGTGATCCTTTGATTGGTTTCTTCCTCCAGCCAACACTGCGTTCATTGCTCTGAGAGCGGCAGACGCCGGGATCAACACTAACACGTACAAGAACTGGGCCCAGGGTCAGATCCACTACATGCTGGGAGACACCGGCCGTAGTTATGTGGTGGGATTTGGAAACAACCCACCAACACAGCCACATCACCGCGCCGCGTGAGAACTTTGAACTTTATTTTTATTAATTTATTATTTATTTTATTTATTTTATTTATTTATTTATTTATTTATTTTTTGATTTTCAAAAAAATATTATCAAACCTTTGATGTACTAAGACAATGCATGGCTTGCGCTTCATTTGCCTCTTCCTTCTCTAGCTGTATTCATTTCTCTCTACATATTCAAATCTTGCCTCAGACGGATATACAAATTCATATTCCTGTGTGTTGCATTTAGACGCCTACAAGCGTGTTTTTATTATTTATTTATTTTTTTTAACAGAAACTATATAGTTTATAGAATGACAAGTAACAATGCCATTGTATTTTTTTGGGGGGAGGGGGGTTAATTTAAGAAACATTGCGTTTTAACCCTTGAATCCTTTTTTAACTCTTTTTGACGACGCTCTTTATTAAAACTGTCTTTTTCAGCTCCTGTCCGATGCGTCCGGCACCCTGCGGCAGCGCCCAGCAGAACGCCTGGGGTCCTAACCCTCAGGTCCTGAACGGCGCTCTGGTCGGCGGCCCCGGGTCCAATGACGAGTACACTGATAGCAGGAACGATTACATCAAGAACGAGGTCGCTACAGACTACAACGCCGGCTTCCAGTCGGCTATCGCAGGTACAGCCGGCTGACAGGTCTAGACCAGGCCCCGGTTTCACAAAAAAGAAACAAAAAAGAAAGAAAAAATATTAAGACAGGTTCCTGGTTAAGAACATAATTACCCCCTATCAGGAACAGTGATATAGATAGAACTGACCTTATTTTTTATTTATTTATTTATTTATTTATTATTATTATTATTATGTGTGAAGCTGGGGCCAGCAATATTGTCGTTATTATTTTGTTTGAGATTAATGAATGATTGACAGTGTTTAATGTTGATTTCTCTGCTTTAGTTATTTTATTTAATAAGAAATTAGTTGTGTACTGTTTTAGCATGTGTTGGTAGAAAGCCTGTTTTTTCGGATTATTGACCAAAGGCGGTAGAGTTAGAAAGACGTGCATTTACAGCAATGTTGTGAATCAGCGTTTTCGATTACAGATCCTTTAATAAACAAACTTTATTTGCAGGTTTGAAACACTGGGCCCTTCAAAAACAGTAGAGAGTAACTATTCGACCCCGTGCCAGAGTGCGGCTATACACTCCGATCAGTAGGTAACACCCTAGGACACTACGGAAACAGCTGTTCTTTGTGCTTATTGTAATTTCTGATGCGAAAAAAAATGATAAAGTGATTATAGTAAAACTATGAATATTTCGTTTGGTTTTGTTTTGAGCATTTTACTGTTTGTGTAAAACTAACGTCTGAATTTTCTAATTTGAATTTCACAGTTGCTGAATTTCTTGAACCTTCAATTTAAACAACCTAAGCCAGTTCTTTGGATAGATAAATAGGTATCTTAATGCTATACGTCAATATTGACATACTTCCTTAGTGCCATAGTGGTAATCGAAAACGACGTTATAGTCGTGTATGATTATGCGACTGACTACTGCGACTGTAAAAGATGGCAGTAATGTAATATGACACAGAAATTATATTCTTTGGCAGTTTAAAAAATCGTCCATCTGTAGGTGTTGAACTACCCTACAGCATATCCCACAAACGACTATATTATAGTAATGTTCTATCTCTGAACGCAGCTTCAGGTGTTGAAAATATACACACTCAAATCTGGATGCTTTATTTGTTTACATCTGTTGAATACAATCGTTACATAGCAGGCTGCAAAGACAATTAGGTATACATGCTAAGCCACCGATATTGGTACAATGTATTCAGTTAGATCTATTCGTGCTCTAAAATTTAGGTTGATCACTCGATCGCCAGCCAGTGTTGTCTCATCTATACGGTAGCTGTGGAAAGGAGCTGGTTTCTGAAATGACAAATAATTCGGATACAAGACGTTGAAGCAGAATTTACGAAACGACATATATAATTGCCGCCGTATCACTACAGAGTGTCATATAGTGTAACTGAAAAAAAATTCACAGACGCCTGTTGAATAACTTCCCATAAGTTATATTTGCACAGATTCTTTTCTGTTTTCTTTATTTCTCGAACTGGAGGAAGAAAAAGATGAAATGTACGACAAAAAATAAAAGAAAGTGCGGCTTTTAAGTATTTTACTGGTGCTCCAGAAATTCATTTGGGCTGATTTTGTTACGGACAGGGTATTTACTCTTGCTTCTTATGTTTATTCATTTATTTTTAAATTTTTATTATTATAATTCTTTTATCAAGTTACCTAAGAAACTTACATAAAAGCGAAGAAATACGGTTTAAGATATAAATATTTTATCCGTGTAGCTCAATTACTTCAACTTAGTAACACCCCCACTTTACCTTCAACAAATGCGAATATAGTGCCAGTTCTTACGCTTACAACCAAAATGTACACGTGCGCTCGCACGTGGGTGTATGTGTGCCCTTAATTCTCGTGAATGATTTACAATGTTACTATAGAAAAATTATTATATAAACTACAATGTTAAACGATCAGATGGCCTCCTATTTCCGTACCTCTAGCTGACGCTCAGATAACGGATGCTGCACGAGGCTATGGGCTCCACGCAGCCCCAAGAGCACTCTTCATACGAGTGCACCACCCTCGTCAGAAACCAGGCCTTCATGTAGAGAACTTCTGCCTTCCCAGGAGTGCAGTGAGTGTTAAAGAACGTCAGGATGTCGTCCCATTTCTTACACTCGGCGTCAGGGTGGAGGCAGCTGCATTGGAACCATGCCTGAACGCCGCCAATCGTTTGCGGCACGAGGAGAGGCCTGGGCTCCTGCAGAAGCCGAGCTCTGGTACAGAACAGACGCAGGCTGGGTGGAGTGGCCAGAGCTGTTCCCGATGTCACTAAGACAACAGTTACGGTCAGGCAGAGAGCTGTGGCTGAGAACATAGTGTCAGAACTGTTTGCAAACTAACATACACACCGCGAATTGAAACAGCTTTGATTTATACAATAGGTTTTGAAGTAATTATCATTTCAATTATAAATCACCATTGCTTATTTAAGTCATTTGATTGTAATTATACAATTTGAATCATGTCATAAAGGAAGTAATTTCCAAGCTTAGTTAGTGTATTCAATCATGAGCTAGTTTCCGGTCATCCGGGCTATTTCTGCTGGCAGCAAGGCGCATGTCCAGGATCAACCTTCGTGGAGAACGCGATGGATATTTTAATGTCTATGTTAGTATATGGAGTATCATGTCAATGCGTAATTATGCAAGCCATTGTAACGGTAAGCTTGAATAAACTATAGTATCAACCACATGAGACGAGTTAAATTTCAGCTAGTACAAATAATATTTATACAATGATTGAACACCTCTCTGAGTTCCTGATTATTCAATTACCCCAAAATGACTTTTCATGCTTGAAATTGTACTATTAACCTTCCTAAAAGGGCATTGATCAATAAACGTACTGTACGTTATACTTTACTCCATTGTCAAATCGTTAGATTAAAACAATGTGCAATCTCCGCCTTATTATAGCTTAGATTAAGTTTATTTATCAGTTCATCCATTTAAAAATTCAAAACAGGATGTGTGAAAAAATGTCACTCAAAAGTACATAGACATTAAAGTTTGGCCCGGGTTTCAAATTTTGAAATTGAAACGTACCTGTTGAAAATGTTCATTGTACACAATTTCAAATCACAATGTTTTATTTATTTTTTTTTTAAATATATCCGTTGAATACAATCATTACATAGCAGACTGTTATGCCGCTGCTATTAGTACAGGAATGTTCACTCTGGATAGATCTACTTGTGCAGTTTAATTGTTTGGTCACGTGGTCGCCGGCTAGTGTTGACTCATCTCCAGTTGGCAAAAGGAGCTTGTTCCTGAAATGATTTAAGATTCGGTTACAATATTATGAGAAAAGACTTCAATTGTATGATTCAGAACAGTGTATATTGCCCAAGAATGTGTGTAGGGACGCAGAGAAAAAAGAAAGCAAAAACTGATCCGTTATGACTAAATATTTCGGCCAAACCGGCCGTGTCACTATATAGTTTCAGAGAGCAAAATAAAAGAATATATATCACGTAGGCCTGTTACATTATTTCCCAAAAATGACCTTTGCACAAATATTTTCTGCTTCCTTTGTTTCTATGACTAGAGGTAGACAAATAGCCCCAATAAACGACCAGAAATTTGAAGAAAGTACGGCTTTAAAGCCTAGCTTTTACTGTTTCCCCATAGACTCATTTGGGCTGATTTTGTTACAGGCCATTTACCCTTGCTTTTTATGCATATTTCAGAACAAACATAAAAAACATACATAAAAACGATGGAACATGGTTTAAGATATCAGTATTTTATCTGTGTAGCTCATCTTAGTGACACCCCCGCTTTGCCTTCAACAAATGCGAATATGTAGTTTAAGTGATTTTTTCTTAATCATACAATGGAAAATGTAGGCGTGCGCGCGCGCGTGTGTGTATGTGTACTCTTTATTCTCAGGGATGATTTATACGGTTACTATAGAGAAATCATTCTATAAGCCACACTGTTAAACAACCAGATCGCCTTCTATTCCCCTACCTCTAGTTGACGTTGTCTCTCCAGTATTCCTTTAGGTAACTGCTGCCGCAGGAGGCTATGGGTGCAACACAACCCCATGAGCACTCGTCATACGTGTACTTCACCTTCGTCAAATCCCTGGTATTAATGAAGAGAACTTCTTCCTTCCCAGGAGTACAGTACGTGTTGAAGAACGTCAGGGTATCGTCCCATTTCTTACACTCGGCGTCTGGGTGGAGGCAGCTGCACTGGAACCATGCCTGAACGCCGTCAATCTTTTGCGGCACGAGGAGAGGCCTGGGGTCCTTGAGGAGCCGAGCTCTGGTACAGAACAGACGCAGGCCGGGTGGAGTGGCCAGACCTGTTCCCGCTGTCACCAAGACAACAGCGGCGGTCAGGCAGAGAGCTGTGGCTGAGAACATAGTGACAGAGCTGTATGGCGACTGAAAGGCCTATACAAACTGTGTGATGAAGTGGCTTTAATTTATACAACAGGTTTTGAAGTAATTATCATTTCAATTATAGAGCACCATTATTGAATTAAGTCACTTAATTGAAATTCAACAATTTGAATCATGTGATGAAGGGAGATATGTCCTAGTTGAGTCAGTGTTTTAAATCAAGGGCTAATTTCCGGTCATTCTGGCTTTTTTCTGCTGGCAGCAAGGCTCATCCCCAGGATCAACCTTCGTGGAGAAAGCCATAGATATTTGTATATATATATATATATATATATATATATATATATATATATATATATATATATGGGTGCATTCCCAGAGTTTTAGGTCGATCCAGAGATTTAGATTTAGATCGACCAAACTCCCTGGGAGTTCACGCTAAATTGCAGTCAGCCGAGCGCGCACCATAGTTAATTACCCCCTTACAGCTTTTAGTAGGCGGGACAGACGCTTAAGCCGGCTAAGCTGACAGTAAACTGATAAGACTCCCCACAGGGATAGATCGATCTTAAATCTATGGGAATGGGGTCTTTGTTAATTTATGGAATGTCATGCCAATGCGTAACCTCATATTATACAAACCATCGTAAGCTTGCGTCTACTATAGTACAGTACCAACCACAGAAGAAGAGTTACATTTTAGCTAGTACAAATAATTATACATGTACAGTGATAGTTGGGCAGATGGCACATCTCACTTTTACCCCCTCGTTAATTAAACAACCCCAAAATAACATGCCATAACATACGTGAAATTGCGCTCTTTATCTTCCTGAAAATGTCATTGACCGATTAACGTACTGTACATTATGCATTATGTAATTGTCAAGTTGTTAGCTTTAGATTGAAACTAATATGCCTTATTATAGCTTAGACGAAGTATATATCAATTCATCCATTAAAAAATTTCAAAACAATATAAATGTTACGTTGACATCAAAGTTTTTTTTTTTTATTTTATGGAGTGTCATGTCAATACAAGCCATCGTAACGGTAAGCTTGAGTAAACTGTTACCAACCACAGAAGACGAGTTACATTTGATCTAGTACAAATTATTATACATTTATAGTAGGGCATAATGAACACCTCACTCTGAGTCCCTGATTATTAAAGCACCCCAAAATGACATGTCATGTTTGGAATTGCGCTATTAATTTTTCTGAAATTGTCATTGACCAATACACTTACTGTACATTGTACATTATGCCATTGTCAAATCGTTATATTGAAACAATCTCCGCTTCATTATAGCT